GATTATATACATGATAAGGCCTATTTTGATTTATAATGGAAATTTAATTCCTATTAATTCATGTAAACATCATAATAGCAAAAGCTCAGGCTTATAACCTGAATTAAAATGCAATAATATTCTAGTTTAATTATGACCAAATGACATGGGATTAAAATTTGCATCCAGAGAACCCATTATAAAGTACAGCAATTAAATGTACACATGAACACACATGTTTTAAATAATCTTTGATAGCCACAGTGAGCCATATAAAGTTCTAAGGGGAAAGTACAAACTAACAAGTAGAATATACAACTTTGTTATTTTTTGATAGCTTGTTTTTCATAAGTATTTCTTCTGAGCATTTTGATGTATATGTTTGTACTAAGAATCAAGTTTTATATCATTAAGTATGCATCTGTGAATTTTTTTATTCTAGTTAAAATATGTTAATGATATTTTCTACATAGACCACTATTACCAATGAAGAAAATGATGCCATGGTGATTTTGTTATGGAGATTTCTAAACATTTTTTTCTGGAGTTTGAGCTAATTTCCTTTCCCTCACCTGCCTCCTTTCAACTCCACTTCTTTCTCTTCCCCCTGTGCTCAGCTGTTTGTTCCTGAGGATAGAACCCAGTGACATGTACATGGTAGGCAATGGCTCTGTCACTGAGTAACATCCAAGCTGCAGAGCTTGAACATTTATTTTCAATAATGTCAGTTTAAGTTCTCAGGCAAAATAAATCCATGGTACTTGGTTTTGAGGAAAATGACTTTAAAGTGAGATTAAGGTAAAACGAAGAGAAAGATGCACGTTGTAGTTTTTTATAATGGTACTAGCAGAAATATAGACCTACTGACTTTTTATCTGGAGATTTGAAAAGTTTGTTCTTTTACCCTCTTTATTAGTCTCCATGCCAGTCACAGTGGCATCAGTAAAAGTCATCACTGATCAACCTCTAGTATCCCAAAGGATACTACTGTAAACAGTGAACAATATTTGGATTTCTAAAGATCTAGAAGTGTCTCAATAAATACCCACCAGTCTTGTTGGAGAATATCATAGGCCTTGGAAATGTATATTTATGATCTCAGAATGGTATGAAGTTCAATAAATATCTGTAAAGAAAATTAAGGTGTAAATACATTTTCTGAAACAAAAATTTCATTATGGGAAAATAATAATAATTAAAGGAAATTACAAAGCATTAAACAAAATGTCATCTTTATAAAGTATATATTTAAATAGACCCTAGCTTAGTAATCATCTTCTTCAAAACCTTATAAATTAAAGAGTTCTAAAGTGTCTTTCAGAGATGGTAGTATAACTCATTGAGAGAGAACCCTTGCTAGCATGTAAGAGGCCTGAGTTCCAACCCTAGAAATACGAAGGAAAAATGTATCTATAATGTACATGATGTATGATCTCACTCACAGTGTCATTTGTGGATACACCTGGAGCCAAGGGAGGAACTGTATAAAATCCAGGTAGAAGCTGTGTGGGAGTTCCAGGCACTGTTCTGTAACTTTTCTATAATTTTGGCATTTTATCTAAATGAAAATGTTATCAGTTATCTGTGATAGGTATCCCAGACCATTTGGGAAGATCCATTAATTATGGAAAAGGGAAACAAAAGAAGGAAAACAAAACAGGAAAGAGAGAGATCTCTTCACTTCTGGCTCCGCAAAGTGTTAAAGCTGTGAGAAAGGGTCATGTGGAAGTTTGAGGATGAGGATGTTAGATGACCTGGGTGTTTTTCGAAGACAGTTTCAGCAAATGCAAGAATATAATGTTCTTCACCTATAAAGGTGACAACATGAACGTTTGTATTTCGATGGAAAATGAGTCATGCCCTTATACCTAAGCATTTTGCCGAAAGTATGAACAAGTGGCTGGGGAGATAGCAGAACCAGTAAATTGTCCTTACAAGTACAGGCACCTGAATTAAATCCCTAGATTCACCTAAAAGTCTGGACACTTGTAATCCCAGTGCTGGGGAAGTGGAGACAAGTGGATACCTGGGACTCAGGCTTGCTGCCCATCCAACCTAGCCTACTTGGAGAGTTCCAGGTCAGTGAAAGGCTGTCTAAAACTCAGGAAGAGATGATGCACCCGATGAATGACATTTCAAGGACGTCCTCTGGCACACCCACACCCACATACACATGTACATACACGTACACAAATTGTGAACAGATGTCTGACCCTGGAATTACATATCAATTCCAAGTCCCTTACTTCTTCTAATCTCTTGTTAGTGATCAAAGAAGAGTTGCTTCAGCATTGCAACTAATCTTTCTTCAAATTCTGTTACTGCCTGCCTTTCCCAGTCATGTCCTACACTTTGGGTTTGAAGGCATAGGAGAAATAGGATGCTCTTAGGTGGGCCAGAAAATGAAGGCAAGAACAAGAGTCACTGCTCCAGTATTGATGGGCATCACCAGGGGTTCTCTAGATTACTCAAGTGGAAAACTGCTCAAATTGAGCTGTACATGCATAGCCTCAGTGAAAGTCAATGGCTGTAAATAGCTTTTAAGTCTTACTCTGTTCCTAACTCATGTATTCAAGTCTCTGTTAAGGCAGCAGTTACAGTCTCAAAAAGAATGGGTTTCTGAATAACCTTAATTACTGCAGCAGTTTCAAGTGTGCGTGTTTGACCTGTACACGTCATTGTTAGCAAGCGAAAGGGAACTTTTCCACCCATATTTGTTGGGGTAGTTCAATAGAGCATGTGTTAGTTTTCACCACTGGAACACAAGCTTGAAATAATCAAATTACAGAGAGGAGTGGTTGATTTTGGCTCATGGATTTGAAGACTTCAGTACATGGGTGGGTGGCCCTAAGACTTTTAGGCCTTTGGTGGGGGAGGTAGCATATCATGCTGGGAGGGAGAACATGTTGGAGCCAACTGTTTGCATCATAGCTGAAAGTAAAAGGGAGAAAACAGAGGAATGGCATGGGTCCCATCATCCTTTCAAAGGTATGCCTTCAATTACCTAAGGATTTCTGTGGGGAAATGGGCCTGTAAATACTTCCGTTATTCAGGCTAACCTAAAACCTGCCATATTGCACAACATGAAGTCATGCAAAGGACAGCGTGCGGCACCAGCGAAGAGGAGACACATAGCCAAATGAACCAATGAGGATCGGGTGGGGGGTATAAAAGAAAGCCCCAATGGCACAATAAACAAGCTTGCTGACATCTTGCTGATGATCTGTGTCGTTGATCTCGCACCTACTCTTCCCTTGCCCCCCAGGACAGAGGTCTAGAGCCACAACAGAGAGCAACAACTGGCACCCAACGTGGCTACCTGACCCCCTCGCTTCCTCCATCCACCAAGACTGGCCCCCTTCGGCTGTTTATGGGGTGAGTAGGCCCCTTTCCCTTTGCAGACCACGGGTGGCACGCTGTGACATGTGTTTTCTCTTGATCTCCTCCTGGCTCCTATCCAGTACATACCCCCTGTACTTGGTTCATCCGGTGCCTCCACATAAGGTCTGACCACCCAGGAGATGGAACCAACGGGTGTAACGGGTGTACTCCCAATAGACACCCAGAGTCCGGAGACACCATGTGGGCATACGCCGTGGCCTAACGAACTTGGAAGTTCCACACTAAGCACAAGACATCTTGGTCCTAAACACTTCTCTATGTCCTCTCTCTTCTATTCTGAGTGGTTAACTGTCCTACTGTGCTTCATCAGCGCCTTAGTCGTTTTCTTAGCCTTCTATTTCTGTGGAGAATTTCCTTTCACTTCATTCGCCTTTAATTCCTCCACAAATTCCCCCCCTTGAAATGGGCAGTTTCCCCTCACATTGCAAGAACCCCCAGATTAGGGCATTAAAATCTCTTTTGGTGACCCACGGCCTTAAGATCAAACAATGTGACTCAGAAACCTTCTGGAGGGAAGCCTCCGATATCGCCCCATGGATCTTTTCTGAAAACGTCTGGGACCCAGATCTGTGGATGTGAACCCTCTTTTTATCTCGAAATCGTGAGGTACAGGAGGGTAAATCACCCTCCGTCCCCTTTGTCTCAATTTTGCTACATATCCTCGGCTGTAGTAAATCTGGCTCTGCAGAGGACATTATACAGTCTTTTAATGAACAATGCCAAGACCAAAAAATGCCCATGCTTTCATTATCATCTCCCCCCCCCCAGAAAACTTACCGGATAAAAACCCCATGCCTCCAAAAAGCTCCCCCTGCACCCTCTCACCCCCTATACCCCATCCCGATACACTCCCTTCCATCTACCCCTGGAGCCACATGCCATCTCTACAACCCCCCTCCTCCCGTCTATGTCACTAATATGTCCTTGGGCTTTTCCTTCACATCCCTGTCCAGACCTGCAAACTTTACTCTTTTGGAGTGGAACCTTACTGATGCCCTCTGCTTTGATCTACGGAAAAAATTCTTCAGGCTGCATCCAGTTATTGAGGCACATTACTGGGGATTTTGCTAATCAAATTACCGCTAAGATGCA